TATCTATTCACCTATAGGTACTGGAGTCCAGTTGATGTCTATGTTGGTGGTGCTGAACATGCTGTTCTCCATTTACTTTATTCAAGATTCTGGCACAAGGTTTGTGAGCCAAACCTGTGGTGTTTAGACTTTTAAGACATCGATACAGCTTAGTTCATTTCGTGATTAACTCATAAGCCATAGCACATATTTCAGTACCCACTTCATTTTGCATTGTATTGTCAATATCTGCCCTCATTTTTACTGTTTTTGCTCATCTTGAATAAGAAATATCTTTATTCTTTCTTCACTGCTGAAGGAGACACTTGAGATTGCAATTGATTCTATATTAATGATAGAAGGCATAAGAAGGACGAAACGACTTGTGATCGAAATCCTGTGTTTCAGGTTCTTTATGACATTGGTGTTGTGTCAACCAAAGAGCCCTTCAAGTGTGTCATTAACCAGGGAATCATCCTTGGGGAAGTAAGTATAGTTGCTTCTGCATAGGCTGGTAATATCCTATCACATTATTCTGATGGTGCGAATAACAGGTTCAATACACGGCCTTCAAAGACCCAGATGGAAACTATGTATCTGCAGACTCTGCTGATGTCTCAGGCGAATTTCATCAGGAAATCATTCCGGAGGAAAAGGTTTGTCATAAATGTGTTAATATATTACTGTTGTTATTTTTATTTTAATGTCTTCCCTGTTACTAGAGTTAAAAAGGCCATATTGACATGTTTTGATCTTGGAGAATTTAGGCTATTGTGGGATCTCACCTCCTTATTTTCTAATCCACTTCTCTTTAAATAGGTTATGAAATCTGGGGATTTCTTTGTACTGAAAGATGATCCTAATATTCGCTTGACTGCTCGTGCTCATAAAATGAGTAAAAGTAGGGGAAATGTTGTGAATCCTGATGATGTTGTCTCTGAGTATGGTGCAGACTCCCTAAGGTTATACGAAATGTTCATGGGGCCATTTAGGTATACAATACTCTCTTCTTTTAGTAGTAGGGAAGAGCACAATAGAGATAATTCTGATGGCATGTTCCCCCTGCTTTTAGAGACTCAAAAACATGGAGTACTAGTGGAATTGAAGGTGTCTATCGATTTTTGGGAAGAACTTGGAGGCTAATTATCGGTTCACCTTTACCTGATGGAACTTTTAAAGATGAAACCGTGGCAATCGATGAGGAACCATCTTTTGAACAGTTACGTTCTCTGCACAAATGCATAGCTAAGGTGATCTCTCAATTTATGCATTTATCTCATTCTTTCCATACAATTACATATTTTCCTTTGTATCTCCCATATGCCACTCTATAATGAACATGAATTGACTTTGGTTTGCAGGTCACGGAGGAAATTGAGGGGACAAGGTTCAACACTGGAATTTCTGCAATGATGGAGTTCATTAATGCAGCATATAAGGTTATTCAACAGATTCCTAAATAAACTTCCTATGCCTTCTCAGGTTTTTCTTGTTTAATATTATTTGAGGACTTGTGGACTGCTTGCTTTCATTCCCTTCTTCGTTCCTTCATTTGCAATCACTATTTTCCCATTGATTTTATTAGCTTTTGTTTGCATTGTGATTTACCAGTGGGATAAACTTCCAAGATCAGTTATCGAAGCATTTGTCTTGTTGCTATCACCTTATGCTCCTCACATGGCTGAGGAGCTTTGGTTTCGGTTAGGGCATTCGAATTCACTGGCATACGAGCCATTTCCTATGGTAAATTTTTTCTTTCTTAAATAGGGTTACCATAGCCCTCTGCTAAGGTGAAAGTTAATCTTCTTAAATTTTGTTATTTTAATTGCAGGCTAATCCTGAATACCTGAAGGAGTCTACCATAGTCCTTCCAGTTCAGATCAATGGCAAGATGAGGGGTACCATATAAATTGAAGAAGGATGCTCAGAGGAGGATGCTTTCAGATTAGTTTCACAGGATGCAAAACTCTCCAAGTTCCTGGATGGAAAATCTATCAAGAAAAGAATCTATGTTCCTGGGAAAATTTTAAATGTTATTTTGGGTCCTCAAAATGTCAAGGCAGTTGTCCGGTAGTCCACTGACCTCATCCGTGACTTTACAGGCGTGATCTCATTTTAAATGCAAAGATCAGCAAGGCGTGATCTTATTTTAAATGCAAAGATCAGCAACGAGTCGAAGTTTTACCCGTGATTTTTTTGCATATGCACTATAAATGGAATGCAAACATGCAGGCAGAGGCAAAATTACTATGCGCATCCAATTTTTTCCCTATATAGATATCTACATCAAGGAACTACCAGGCTAAGTTAAGTTTCGCTATTTAGGGTCCCTGCATGTAGAGGCCACCTCCAGCGAGATAATAGTGCAGCAGCAGAAACAGTTCTTGCAATTTCAACATCCATGATTCGATGGAATGAATGCATGTGAAGTAATCTTTTGTAGATATATTGGTATTAAGGCATTCAAATATGTACATCGACACATTGAATGTATCATCTGTATCATCATCTGGATCATTCAATGTAAGGTCTGAATAAACTTATTGACGTGGGGAGCATATTTCATAATCTTAGGCCTTTATTCATGATATCTTGATGCATGTTAGATGTTAATTGAGTGAAGAAATATTTTAGATTATTCGAGAGTGAGACGGGACAGTCGGTTGAGATCAGATTGAGAGAAAAAGCTTTCTTATGGTGGAAACAAACCTAAAATCCTTTTTCAGTAGAAATTAGGATGCATGTTTAAAATTGGTTTCGTGTGAAGCAAAGGTTAAGAGATAGATTTATTTCGTTGGATTACAATGATGAATTCATGAGGTGTAGACAGTAGGGTTTGGAATTGAATCTCCTTTGCATGTTCTATGATGAGGAGCTGGCGACGCAATCTAAGGCTTGAATATTATCTATTACTTCTGACTTGAACTATTCTGTAGGAACCTTCTTTTGTCTGCTCTTTTTATCACTTTCATTGCTTTGTCACGCTATGTTGAACACATGTCTATCACTCCTTTGTTACTGACAATTAACAAGTTCACTCATAAAATAACATTTTCTACTAATAATAAAATAAATTTTGCTCCATTTGCATCGTTATTCCCCCTTGAAATTCCACAATCGAGATATTTCATAAATACTTATTTTTAAATATCGAGTGGTTTATTTTAATATGAATCGAAACGAAGTTTACGAGAAAAGTTTATCGTAAAAGCTAATTGGTTATAAAGTATCTTTAACTATTAGTTAACAAGAAAAAAAATCCTTAATCTTTATTTATTATTATTATTATTTTTATAATTGGGTCTCTAACACTTTTTTTTCTTTTAATTAAATATTTTTCATTCCGTGATCACATTAAAAATTCGTAGAAGATATATAAAGCTATAAAATAACGATAAGTACTTTATAACTAACTAATTTATTGTAAATACATCAGTTTATATATCAAAAATCGATATATAAAGCTATAAAATAACGATATGTATTTTATAACTAACTAATTTATTATAAATACATCAGTTTATATATCAAAAATCGATTTAAGATTTAATTAAGGTATCCATGAAACAAATTAATGTGAACCACATGGTTAGTTGTTATGGTCAAGGAATCCCTTCATTTTCCCATTCTAAAAGCAAAGAAAACAAAAATTAGACCCTTTCTTTCTTTCCCTAAAAAATGAAAACTCCAAACAAATCATTCCCTTGGCCACCCTACAATACCAAACTCTTGATTCACCTCTGCTCCATTAATGGCAACACAGAATCCCACCCACCAGGCCACCACTTCTCACTTCTGTGGATGGAGGCGGTTCACCGAACTTGCTTTGAAGTTTGACTAAGAACAAGGGAAATCACATTCAAGTCCTCCAACAATCATAAATGTTGCAGTTTTGTCCCTCACTGCTGGCTAGAGGTATCAACAACACCACTAATTTATTATTACAAGAAGTCTCAACACATCGAGCCTAGTTTTCTTTACTTTATATCATTATTGATTTTAGAGGATCGATTTAAGTGGTAAAAAAAGACGTTTGATTCTTTCTATTAATTTATTCGAAATATGATATATTTATTTTTAATTATTTTAATTCATAAAAATATCATCAAAGTTAATTCTATATAAGTGTGATAACGATGTTTATAAAAATATAATACATTATCATATTTATCATTATTTTAAGAGATAGATTTAGATGGTAATAGAAAGACTTATTCATCATGAATGTCTCAAGTTTAATTTTTTTTTTTACTAGTTTATCGAAGATATGATATATCTATTTTTGATTAAATTAATCTATAAAAATATGTAAAATTTAATTTCAATATAATCGTGACAAAAATGTTTTTAAGAATATGATACATTATCATATATGTTATTAATTTTAGGAGATAGATTTAAATTGTAATAAAAAAAACGTATTCATCGTAAATATCTAAAGTTTGGTTTTTTTTTTTACTAGTTTATTGATGATGTGATATATCTATTTTTGATTAACTTAATTCATAAAAATATTATAAATTTGATTTGGATATAATTTTTGAGAAATTTTTTTTTCGAAATTATGATACATTATGAAAAGTCGTTATTGTTTTTAGGAGGTTGATACCGTAATAAGAAGACTTATTTAGGATTAATGTCTTTAACTTTATGATAGTTAAGAGATATCTTGCGAAGAGGTAGTTTGCCCTAAGAACAATTTCAGTATCAGTAGTGGGTCCCACAATCTGAGCACCAATCAGCCCAGCACCACCATGGCACCATCACCATACAAAACCGACAGCAGGAACTACTTTCACATTCCCCTCTCCTCCTCTTCTTTTCTTACACAGAGACAACGTTAACTTTTACAAGCCAAACAAAATTAAAAAGTCCAAAGAAACAATCACATGTCCATCTCTCAAAATCAATGTAATAATAATTATAATAATTAAATTCATTTCTTTCTTTCTTTCATTTCCTTTTATGTTTCTAAATCAATTCAATAAATTTCTTTGTTTTTGACAGGAAGAAGGAGAAGGATGACAAAGAAATCATCATTGCCGCCAGCTCTTCTTCCACAACCAAGACGACATGTCATCTGGTTTGGATGGAAGCTAGTGATCTTCCTCTCAATTGGGCTCTGTGTTTTTGCTCTTTTTAGACTCCATCTCGCTTCTCCTCCTGAAACTTTACTTTCTCGTAGAAGATCTTCAATTTCTCGTCAAGTTGTCATCTTCGATGGCCCACCTAAAATCGCGTTCCTTTTTCTCGTTAGACGGGGCTTGCCTCTTGATTTTCTCTGGGGAAGCTTCTTCGAGGTAATTTTTATTAAAAATGGCATTTTTTTTTTTTTGTTCCCGGGAAAGTTAGTGGAATCTGGAAATTGGGTTTCTATGTTTAGGTTGTGATTTGAGTTTTCTGTCAGGTGGGAAAATTATGGAATTTGCGAATAAGGTTTATTTTTTATTTTTTACTTTTTTTTTTGTTTTTCGAATGCAATTTGAGTTTTCTGTCACTTTCTCGAGAAGATTAATGTAATTTAGGATTTTGTGTGGATTTGAATTTTCTATCTTTTGTAAAGAAAATTAACTGAATTTGGGAAAGGGGTTTTAATTTTTGTGTTGAATACCATTTGAGTTTTCTGTACCTTTCTCGGGAAAATTAATGGAATTTGGAAATTGGGTATCAATTTTTTTTGCAGAATGCTGACACAGCAAATTTTTCGATATTTGTACACTCAGAGCCAGGGTTTGAGTTTGATGAGTCAACAACACGGTCACATTTCTTTTATGGTCGACAATTGAAGAACAGTATTCAGGTGATTTGGCTAATTGCTTAGCAATTAAAGCTTACAATAAAGATTCATTTTTCAGTTTTTCATTTTAGTATTAGATGAATTAAAGCTTACAATATTAAATTTTGAATATTGTAATTTTTTTAAAATTGGTTGGTGAATTTTGCATGCAAAGGCTAATACAAATTTGGATCAGTTTCCTTTTTTTTTTTTTTTGCGCTTTCCTCAATTGTTCAGTGCTTAGATTGGTTTATTAGGTTTTAAAATTTGGGAATTTATTGTCCGGAGAATCTCTACTGATGTAGTGTATTATTATTAACTTTGATTTGGTTAAAGTTAGAATTCTTTAAGCAAAAATGGAATTGATGGATAATATGTTGTTTGTCTGAAATTGGAAGTTTTTTTTTTCTTTTTTTTTTTGCAGGTAATATGGGGGGAATCAAGTATGATAGAAGCAGAAAGGTTGCTACTTGACGCCGCTTTAGAGGATCCCGCAAATCAAAGATTTGTTCTTCTCTCTGATAGGTTAATTTCCTATATTAAGTTGGCCATGAATTTGCTCAACAAAGTTTGTGTTTAAACTTTGACCTTGCAATTTATTTCCTTATTTATCTATTATCCTTTTTTTAATAGTTTCATTACCTTATTGGGCAAGTAATGTTTTTTATTTGTATGTTGCAGTTGTGTGCCTCTTTACAACTTTAGCTATATATACAGCTATTTGATGGCTTCTCCTAGGAGTTTTGTGGACAGGTAGATGGAAGGGCTTTCATTCTTGAGGTGCCAAGCACTATTGTATCACCATCCAGCATTTGTCCTCTTTGTAGTGATTTCAAAGGAATCTTAAAAGCTAAGATTTATCTGTTTGCTTTGTGTTGCAGCTTTCTTGATGCGAAGGAAGGCCGCCACCATCCTAAGATGTCACCAGTTATACCAAAGAACAAATGGCGAAAAGGGTCCCAGGTTGTTCCATAAAGAAATAAGGTTATGTTCCTTTATGATATGTATGCATAAACTATGCTCTAACTTGACATTCTACAATTACAGTGGATAACTTTAATCCGGAGCCATGCAGAAGTGATTGTAGATGATGATGTCATCTTACCAGTCTTTAAGAAACTTTGCAAGGTACTTTGTCAAGTTATTTCGTCTATAGCAGCAACTTCATTTTCAGATATAGTTGATATTTAAACTATTAATGCTGTTCATGTAAGATGGGACTGTGTTTGAACCCTTACTAACTTTGCTATGCAGCAACAGGAATGCTGTTGTAGTGAATGGAGCTTCCTTGAAACTTAAAATAACATCATTTCCTTGTGATTTAAATCAATTATCAAGGCAGTATATAACCTTTAGAAATTAATACTTTATGCAATGATTCTCACCTTTTCATAATGTGTAGTTTTTTTTTTCCTCCCCCATATAACCAAATGACTTGCATCCTCTTTAGAAGCTTTTGAAATCTGTATTAGTCATGTAATAACTAACTTTTGACATCTATTACATTTTGCAGCGACGGCCACCTGTTGATGCCAGTAAGGGAAAGCTGAATCTCGTAAGTCATAGTCGACAACTAATTTATAAGTTGAAAAACAAAATGCTTCCTGTTTTCAGATATTGGAATTCTCTTGTCTTGTTTTGAGTTTAATTTATTTGTTTGCCATGTAGCCTGCCTATAGCTTCCAGGGCTATTGGAAAGGCTCTTACTATCGTGAATTCACTCTTATAGCCTTGTTCTCCTCTTATACTATGCCTTTTCTAAGTGCAGATCTTATTCTATTTGTTTTACCTTAAAGGTTTCTGCTGCTCCTCGTTATAGTTATTGTTTGTTTAAGCATCTGTGGTTGCTTCTATATAATGGAGCAACAATTTAGATTTGCAAAATAGCAAAAATAGGAGTTCTGGTCGAGGTGAAAGAGAGGAGTTACAGTAAAGGCTTGTATATTATGGAGGACTTCAAGTTGGAGCGTGTTAATTTTCAATCATTTTGTGGATGTTCTAAATATTTGATATTCCTGATATTCTGATCCATTCTGTTTTCTTTCAAAGTATTGATCATTATTCTGACCTGGGCCTAATTGCAATGCAGAAACTTCAGAAGCAGCATAACTGTATTCCTGATGAACACTATGTGCAGACATTGCTTTCGGTAAGCAGCATTTTGTTTTGTGCTAACCCTTTTTATCTTCAGATATGAGCCTAATTGTGCCTCTTTTTTGTCCTTCTTTTTTATGTCTACTTCTTAGATGAGTGGGCTGGAAGGTGAACTTGAAAGAAGGACCGTAACCTATACTGTATGGAATCATTCTGCAACAAAAATGGAAAATAAAGGCTGGCATCCTATGACATTTTCTTATGCAAATGCAAGCCCTAAGAAAATCAAGGAAATAAAGGTTGTTACTTCATTTCTATGTTAATTTGGTTTTACATAAAGATGGAAATCGTAATATATGGTCATATAGAATTCTTCCACCTTTATGTATTTTTTATCTGATCTTTGGTTTCCTTAGTGATTCCCTTTTGTATGCTTGGAAGTGCTGGTGCTATCACCATGTTATCTGTGCATCAGGAATGGTGCTGGAACTTTTGAGGAACTGTTTAATTCCCATCCCAAAAAATGTGCTTTAGACAGTTCACCTTCATTCTATGGTTCTTTTTTGTATCGTTTTGTATCCACTAGATAGGGTTTGTGATGGTTCTGTTTTCTAGACTGTGGTGCGGTTTTCTTGGTTTTCGTCTGTACCTTTCTCACTTGCTACTAACTGTTCTGCTCCTCTGTTTTGCTCAATTTCACAGGGCATCAACCATGTATACTATGAGACCGAGTACCGAACAGAATGGTGTCGAACGAACTCAACATTGGTTCCGTGTTTTTTATTTGCAAGAAAGTTTTCCCGTGGAGCTGCCATGCGCCTATTGAGTGACGGGGTGGTTGGGCCATTTGATGCCTCTTTGCTATTAACCAGGTCCCTCTGATTGAGTGACACTAGCATTTCTCTCAGTTTTCTCCCAGCACTGTAACCTTCAACCGACCCAGTTCACATACAGTTGCGGCAGCTAGTGGGCGCCCACACAAACATATGGTTCTATACATAGATATTGATACAACATTAGAATACTGTAATATCTGCGGCTGTTGATTGATTTCAAGGAAATGAGTTGGAAGATAACATTATCGGGTTTGATCGCATCATCGTGGGGACCTGGCGTTGTTCATAGTTTTACGACAGCGGAGGACTAAGCTTTACATCGTTTACAAAGGTGGGAAACTAACCCTTGCTCTGTTTGCAGTGCTGCTGGTGTAAGAACATAATTTTTTTTTCCTAGTTCACACAGTTTTGGAAATATGATATTCTTGATGAATGTAGCAAATTAAATGTTGATTAACATAACACAGGAAATGTGATCCATGCGTGTCTTGCATGAAAGAGGCAGCCCCATGTGAGTTGCAGTAAAAACTGTGTTGAGTAATTTATAAATTAGTCCCTTTATTTTTGAGAAACAAATTAACTAGTTTTCTTTGTTTTAAAAATTAATTATTTAGTTCTTATATGTATATATTTTTTTGTAATTTAATCTTTTTTTGTTATTTTTCAATTTATTGTAATTTTTTATTTTAAAAAATAAAAAAAGAGGAAATAAATTAGTTAAAGATGTGAAAGAGTTTACGAGAAAAGATGACATTCTGAATAAAATAATATTAAATTAAATGTAATTAGTAATGATTAAGGGATTAAATAAATAATTTGTAAAATAAAAAGAATTAATCAGTTCATTTTTTGGAAATTGTGTTAGCTCCTTTCTGATGTGTTGCTTTAAACATGGATGTTTAGCCAACATTAATATGTGATTGTCGAGCATCTTTCATTTTGGGTTCAGCCATGGAAGGAGTTACTTATAACTTAGTCCCGTTAGTTTTTGCAAACTAATTAACTAATGGTAGAGTCCTTAACTCCTTCTTAAAGGGATCTGAATCTGTGGTCCTCCAGAGAAGTCCACTGGTTCATTTGCTGGTAATAGTAATACAATAATATCTGCACAAGACACTCACCTTCCTGTACAGATTTTATATGCCCTAAAGCTTCTCGCTTTCTGATACCAAAGTTTCTTGAAGAAATCATATCAGAGTTATCTGAATCCAGCAAAATTGCCGCGTCACATCCCTGTATTAATGAAACAATCAGAAATTTCCAAGTCCTGCTTGTATACATAAAGAGAGAGGATCCACATGCAAGAACGGTAATTGCAGGCCAGGTTTGTATGCAAATTCAATGGATGTTGGTAAAAGTAGGACAATAAACCTAACTTAATAACACTGGTGCCCTACAGCGATTTCAAGCATCATTTTCGGCTTATAATCGAATCTTAGTCGATAGATTCACAGGGAAAAAAAAGAAAAAGAAAAGATCCAATAGCAAAGATTATACTAGTAAAAGCAGGACACCATAGAAACCACCATGTTACAATGACATCACCATCTTACTGAAGCAGAGAACGAACAAGAAAATAGTTTCTTTTTGTCATGGAACATGAGCCTAAGAAAAGCAGCTGGTGCCGTAACATCTCCCTCGAGAATGCCTAGCATTTCTTGCCTACCTAAATAGTAGCTGTGTTTATCCAAATTGGCCTTGCTTTGACAAGTGATATATGGACAAGGCAGGCCAGAAATGCCATAATAACAGTGTTGCACAACACTATATATCTCTCTTCCTTTCAGGTTTGCAGTTCTATTTGGAACTTCTCTCATTATCGATTTTTTCAGCTCATTTATCTGGTAAAGTGTTGTTGTTAATGAACACTAGATATAGAGAGAGAAGGCCTGATGCTGGCCAGACTAATAAATGGCAGAATTGAAATCATCTCCTCTTTTTGGTTATGAGGGAGAGGCTCAAACGTCAAACCTGAGACTTTTTATGGGGAGGGGGATATGGATGCCGGTAGAGCTACAAGCTCTTAGGTAAAACCATCTCCTCCTTTCTTTTTCATGTTCTGGGGACTTTCTTGAAAAGTACTTCCACTGTGAAGTCCTTATCAGTTGAATCAGAGGTCTTGACAATTGACATCAACAAATGCTGTCCACATTGTATAATATCATCTGTCATTTTTAGTGGATGCACCGTGATCTTGACGATTTTGCTACAACCAAAAGTCAACAGAATTGCTTTAAATGCAAGAGGAATATGCAGATGGTTCTTATTTTTTCACACTGGAGAGCCGTAGGCATAGGTGATCAAAGCACAGCACCTCGTTATCAAATTTCAGACAACAAAATTGGATAGCATAATTGAGTAAATTAAAGAATGAATTAACTAGGATCAAAACTCAGATTTTCGAAATGATTCTTCGACTTGCGATATTGAATTTCCTCAGGATTACCTAATCTATTCGAAGTTTTGATTAACATGAGATCTCATGATGGGCATGAGGCCTTCTCTCCACCCTCTCTCGCGAGCCCTGAACTCCCATATTGCACTAAGTTTCCTCTGATCTTCTAATACTTCTTCAGCTCTTTCCCTTGCCGCTTCGCAGGTATCCATTCCAGCATTGCATTTCTCTGCCTCTTTCTGGTACTGAGATGTCATTCTCTTGGCCTCCAACAGTGCCACGTCTGCGTGCTGTTGTTTTTTCTGAGCCTCTTCTTCATTTAACCTTAGTTCTTCCCACAACAGATCTCTAAAACTTTTCTCTATCTCATGGCTCACTTCAGGATCATGCTTCATACAATCTAAAAGAGTACAAAGACAAGATCAGAAAATGTCAAAGCCTCAAAGGTCAAGAAATAGTATAGCCTACTATAGATCACATCATTCATAGAAATGGTGAAAGATGCAGAATCACATCAATTATCTTTCCTTGCATTTCAAACATTAGCACTAGCATTTTTCCGAAATTACCAAGTATTATTGTGTACACTAGACATGTTGTCATTGACATCCTAACAGGTCATTAGATGTCTGAAGCTTGCAAAACATCAGAAAAGAATGCTCTCCTCTTTCTTCCTTACAAGTCTTAATGTCGGTTCTATTCTATGGATCAGGACTAGGGAGAAGGCAGAAATGCGATCTCAAAGCAGGTTTTAAGTGGGTCATTGAGTAGATAACCAATATTATAACTTGAAAGTATCCTGGATATAGCTATTCATGCATACAGTAACAAATATCAGTTTTGGTTCACTTCTTCATGACCTTGTCAGTTTTCTTTTTTGATACTTTTCAGGTAATAATCTTAAATCTGGAAAGCTCAAGCATCCCTAAATACATAAACAAACAGAATTTAAGTTTCAGGAATACCAAGAACATGTAATTCCATAAAATTCTGGCTCATTATATCTATAAATGAACCTTTTTTTTTTTTTTTTTTACCATTCCACAGGGCCTATGGGGAAGATAAACTAACCTGTAAACGAGCTGTTGCTCAATCCTGAACGGAAACAGACAGGAAAATCATATCAGCTTGAGGAAAAACAGTAGAGCTGGCAGTTAGCTAGTTACATTACTTAATACTACAATATCCACACCAAGAAGAATATAATAAATCCTCCAAGATCATCAGAGCAAACTAGACAAAATAAGAAAATCAAGGAGGTCATCATGTAAAAGAAATTAGACTTTTCTCTTGACAAGGGACTGGGATTTTGATAAGGATATGGCCAGGAATTCCGAACACATTCCAGATTCATGTTTTTAATCTGTTTCATCAGCATGTTCACAGCTATAAACAACTGTGTAACCTCCAAGTAATCAAATCGTACCACCAGATCAGACAAACTTAATCCATTCCATTGAAGCCATGTACAATCCCTACTAATCAACATTTCCGCAATTAGGAAAGAACAAAAACCCCATTCTTCTCCCAATTGAAAAATTACTTCAAAAATCATTGATCCATAATATGCACAACCAAATGAGAAAACTTTATATGTGTCGAAGATCACATAGTCAAACACAAAGATCTTAACTTTCGGTAGTAAAATTATGTCCCCATAAATGCATTTTGGACCCTTTTTCACCAAGGAAAATCCAAACACAAAAACTAAAAGAAAAAAAGTTCACATTCAACAAGGATCAAAAGAGTCACAAAGAATAGAATCAAACAGCATGCACATCCATGCATGTATATATATACATACCATCAGGGAGGGTAAGGACGGGTTGATAAGAGCAATCACAGGAGCAACGATGACAATGAAGGGTAGAAGAACGAATCTTGGCCGTTAGAAATTCAGAAAGATGCCAATATATAGATGGGCCGACAATGTAAACAACAAGGAAAAATCCTATTATCACCATCACCGCCTTTAGGGCTGTCTTATGCTTAGCACCTCTGCGCCTGTTGCTGTAGTAGTAGTAGTAGTCATTGATCATCGTTCTCTCTCTTTCTTTCTTTGGACAAAGAAAAAAAAAAAAAACCGAAAAGATTTTGATTTGGGGTAGTGAAAAGAAATGTTAGCTATGTCATACTTATCACCTGGTAACTGCTTTCGGTTCTATGGTGATGATGATCAAGTTTTTATTTTTGTTTTCAATTATCTGAATTTTTTGAATATATACATATATAGTCATTGAAATGGTAAAATTCTCCTGGAAATACGGTATTGGCGCCAAGTAAGGAACTTTAGACAAGGTGGCCTTTCTGATATTTGATGTATTTTTGGGGATTTTATTAAATAAAAAAGGTAACCCATATGGAGTTGTCTTCGTAGTTTCTTTGATGTTTATCATCAGTATGTTTGCTCTTTTGAAGGATTTTATAGAATAAGAAGTTAAGTGTTGTCTTCGGGTTAAAAGAATTTTGCTGTAAATTAAACCGTTTAATTTAAACATAAGAAACCCTAATAGTTTAAATAAATAATTTTAAATTCGAACTTTTATGTAGATAACTTTTTTTTAGATAATTGTATTCATATTATATGTCCGATAGAATAACGATAAATTAATTTAAATATTTGAACCTCAAATATCTCGGATCCTAAAATTATTGTTATTTTTAGTTATGGTTCCAAAAGAAACTTTTTTAGTTAACATAATATTATTATTATTTTTTTTTGTATTATCAATATTTAATTATTCATTAATCTTTATTTTTTATTTTTGATTTTTTATTTCTACATTCACTCGGATCCGATGGGACCAATCTCAAGCCAAAACTGGGCATGCTTGCTAGTTTAGGGCAATTAAGTTTAGGTAGTTAAAAGGGCATGTTAGCTAGTTTAGGTAGTTTCTGGTTTAGGACAAGTTAAAGTAGTTTGGGATTCAGTTATTGGCAGTTAAAAGTCAATATGATGTTTATATATATATGAGATGCTAAAATATGAGATTGATTTGTATTTTACTGTTGAATTTATTAAATATGAGATTCGATTTAATACGGTCCGATTGGGTTTTGTTATCATCAGTAACAGGCCAATGAATAAAGAGGTTAATTTAACCATTAATTCCTATACTCCAAGTAAAGAATCCAAGTAAAACAAAGCAATACCTTTTTTATTTTTTAATTCGTGTTTTACAAAACAATAACTATTATTTTTCAGTCTATTTTTGCTTTTTTTATGGTTATTGATAACTATGAACAAACGGTTAAACGATTCAATTTTATAGAAATTCAGTTCGGTATTCGATTAATCAAATTAAGAAAAACCAAAACTGAAACCGAACCGAAATAAGTTTAGAAAATTCAGTTTGAAACCAAAGTATTTCGATTGAGTTCCATAAAAATATTATATTATATATTTTTTCACTCTATATTTTGTTAATCTCACTTTATAGTATATCTTTATTAATCATATAGAACAAAATGCCCCTAATTAGATTTTTTTTTTTATATATAAATGATGATATTAAATTTCAGCATTACATTTATATCTATAAAATATAGCTAAAAGTAGAAAGTTTCTCTTTTTGTTTAAGGTTCACCATTTTTTTTTAATTGTTATTACCTATCACCAAATTTAATTTCTCCAAAGTAAAGTTTTAGTCGTATTCTATTTTCTTTCTCAATATTTTTTTTCATGTTTTGGAACCATCACCCATAAAATAATATTTTTTTTAATAATAAAATAATTAAAATTTTGAAAAATTTAATTTCTATATATTTCTCATCTTTTTATTTGAATTAATTTAAAATTTAATAATTAGAAAGTAATATTTTAATAAATTTTAATTTGGATACTTCATAATTATATTATAATAAAGGATAATATAGTCTATTAACAAAAATTGAAATAAGTGTTTTTCAAAGGTTTGTTACTATCTTAGGTTTGGATTCAAATGAAGGGTACAACAAAGAATAAGATCCTAGAATTATTGTTCTTGTTAGTTATGAAGGGGATGATGCTCTCCCACCCAGCTTAAAGTTTTCATCGAATACTTGCTTTTAGCATAATTTTCAAACAACGACGCATGTCTAAATTACACATCTATTCAAGGAAACACAACTATTTTGTGCTAATTCCACATGATTTTTGGCATTTGAAGGTCAACAGCTAGAGGATATCTTTAGCAATGATGCTACTTGGTTCTAAAACTCTTTTGGGGAAGGACATGATCAGGAAAATTCATTTCAAACAAAATGCACACTCTCAAAGGATCATCTCACCTAAAAGCTTAAGTCGTTAGGTAAGATCCTAGGATATGATTTATATTATTCTCTAACACACCCTCTCAAGTAAAAGTCCTTTGGGCTTGAAACTTACATAGGCTCACACTACTTTGTGCTTAATTAATTAGAAGAGAAAGTGAGAATGGTAAGATTCGAACTCTTCACTATTAGCAAGGCTCGATACCATCTCAAATGACCATCCCATCCAAAAGCTTAAACTATTAGATAAGACCATAGGATATGATTTATATTATTCTATAACATAAAGGATCAACCACTTGCTAATAGCAACCAATTATGGCAGCAAAATGAAAAGTTAGTCCAGGAACCACAGTGGAACTTTGCAAGTATCGTTTGTATAGCCATCTGGCAAGCAAGTTGATGAACAAAATGAACAAGCAACCGATGAGTGTCTTTCAGCTGTTCAATCTACATATTAGCAGTGTGATTCAAACTTATTGGCCATTAAATAGAACAGATTTGACTAAGCTTTCTTGTAATCAATCCATCAAAGGTTAATGACACAAGCCGTTAATTTACCATGCGAATATGGTAGGACAAACAAGGAAGCAAATGGCACTACGTTCATTTCTTTTTCGGATACTCCCTAGGCCCAAATATGGTAGAACCAATTCTCACATTTGTACTCCCCATTTCAATCTGCAAAACAGCTTTAGCTATTAGTTGGATTATCTCAAGACAGGATGTGTCATGATGTATCACGGGTGCAATTTCCACATCATCGATGATAAAAATAAAAATTCAACCTATCAGCGCAGTTTTGCTACAAGCCGGCAGCATTACTTACAGCTTGCTCAAAGTCATTAGACATTCCCATTGAGAGCTCGCACTGCTCTTCTGGTATACCAAGGGCCTTGCAAACCTCACTTCTGCAGTTTGCCAATGTCTGACAATATAACCAAGTTTGATATCAAAAAATCTCAGGCACAAACGATGCTGTGAAAAAGGAGGAGGAATGAAAGATTTGGAACCTAAAAGTGAACAAAATATGCAGCCACCACCTTGAAGTTTTCTGGGGTTGATGTATAGTCAAGCATCCCTATTGTCATTAGGCCACAAAACTGAAGGTTCTTGCAACTCTGACTAACATGTTTGGCCAGTTCCACACAACCTGAGGGCTCAACACCAGATTTTGCTGCAATAATATGGCAGAAATGGACAACAGAAAAAAATAGACTGCTCTTAAAAGAACCTTAAATTAGTGAAAAATTCTACAACTAATAGGAATGTGTTAGTTAAGAAATTCATGCAGAATGAGCGCAAATTGTTGAAAATTGAACTATCAAATGGCCTCAAGAAAAAACTTGGCTCCCAACCATGACTGAAACAATAACAACGAGACTGTTCAGCAGGTATAGTTTGATAAACAGAAACAGATCCCAGAGGGGGTAACAAGCTGCATGATACAAAAACCACAAAGGATATTTACAGTGGCAAAAATTTTCATGTACTTGTTTTATGGAGATAAGGCACTCCTAAATAATAACAGATTTATGGCGCAGAGGTAGTGGCATGAGGAGCAGCATCAGAACCTACTGAGCCGCTAAATAGTAGGACAGAGATCATTATAAATACAACCAAAGAAGTTAAGGCATCACAACAGAGTAAAATCGACCTCCTATGCAATTAACTCATGACTACTTGCTCCACATTGAAACAAAGGTACGGCCTTTTCTTCCAAGTGCAAAAACCTTAGGGCATGTCTCATATATATAAGCCATGCACTAAACAGAACAAAATGTAAACCCATAACTCTTGTTTAACAAAGTCCACAATGAAAACCTAGTGAAGAATAAACCTTTCAGGATGGATTATAACCATGGACAGGTACAATTATGCTCTCATGGTAGATAATGAACAATCATTGAATTATGAACACACTAGTTGAACCTCCAAGAGGAATCACGCATATGCTAGTCGGTGTCATGTTCTATGACACAAAGAGTATATAAAACATAACCTAAAAAGTTAATGGTACTTATCCAAAGTCAGCGATATTAATTAAGACCATAACTGAAAAACCAAAGACACGAGCAGGGCCCCATATTTAGAGCAGCCAGTATTCGATTTACTCACATTCTTCACCACTGGTATTCACTTGGACCAAGACCTTTAAGGGCTTCCTTCCCAAGTTCCCAACCCCACGATCAAGATGATTGGCAATCTGCGAAAAACATAAATGAAGCTTCATAAATTCATAGATAAAAGATATCAACTAATAACCTTGAATAGTTAGAAAGGTCCTCAAGCAGAGCTTCGTAAATCCATAAAATGCAAGGGTTCATAAGAAAGGCAATACCTTTTCATCATCCACACTCTCTACCATATCAAGGTTTGGTACACTAGCTGCGCAACACACACTAACCCATCAAAAAACACAAGAAAACACCACAACCCAGAATTTGAAAACCAACAAAGACAACAAATGAACCATACCCAGTAAAGGTTTCACTTTGTTGCTCTGCAAATTCCCAATGAAATGCCACTCTATATCCTCTGGCAACTGCATTATTCAATTACCAAATTCAACCAAAACAGTTCAAATCTTTAATCAGTCTCCACTACCATGATTAGTTAACACAAATTAACAAAAAAGTTGAAAATTTAAGAACCTGGGGTGCCTTTTCTATGAGTTCTTGAACGTAGTTTTCACCAAAACAACGGTGACCCACATCGTAGACTTGTTTGATTAGAGAGACTGGTTTGGTCTTGCTGACAGCCACCACTCTGATCTGCTGGGTCCCACGACCAGCCTTCTCTGCTGCTTGAGACACACGGTGAAGCACCGATCGGAGCGCCGCCGCCGCCACTTTGTCCATAGCTGCAGATGTTGCTGACATGTAAGAAACAGAAACTCGTCCTTCTTCTTGTTTTGTGTTACCGTTATTATCTGTGGTGGTGGGTTCTTCTTCTTCTTGTCTGTTCATCTTTTTGTGGTCTCTCTGATCTTTTGGTTTCTGGCTGGTAGAGTGCTAGCTAGATTATTGGTATTAAACGTTGCGTTTTAGAATATTTCTCTACAATTATTTTATTCATTTTTCTTAATTCTTTTTTCTCGTAAAAATAGCAAACAGTTGAATTTTTCATCTTGTCAAATATAAAAAAATCAATTTATCTGAAGACAATTTTTCATTTTATCCCATTAATGGCATTTTTGTGAATTATAATAATGCGTGAACTTTAAATTAGATTTTTACATTATTTCATAGTCTTTGGAAATCAGAAAACATGATCAGAAAGTGATTGTAGCTAAGGGCTAGTCTTTAGCCTAGGAATTGAAACAGATTAATGGAGTACGTTGGAAAATCAAAGCGTTTTGCCTTCGGTATGTTAAAGCTTTATTTGACAATACAAAGAACAGAACAAAAATTACTACAAATCAAATACATCCCTGAGTACATTACAGAATAACCTTACTCTCTGGTGATTATTAATACTACTTTCACCAGCATCAACTTCATCTTCCACTTCGAACCCTCCTTTGGCCTTGCCTGAACCTTCTCCCATGCTTTCTTGCTCGCCTTTCCAGATCACTGAACCATTTGATTCTCATCTGACTGAATATTGTATATCCAATAGAAAAACCAATTACTAGTCCACTTGCATATCCCATCCCCACAATTTTCCAATCAAGTATGTACTTTGTCCATGAATCCTCATCGTTAGCAAGTACTGGGGGAGGCATCGGTGCTGCACCAACACCGCATTTCCTTGTCAGAGGAGGCCCACATAATCTTGGGTTCCCTTCATAGGAAGTGTTTGGAAATGTACCGAACTGGTTGCCTTGAGGAATGCTTCCCTCCAGTTGGTTGTATGAGAGATTCATTACTGCAAGGAAGGTTAGGCCTGTAAGTTGCGAAGGAATCTCACCTGAGAGTTTGTTGTTTGAGAGGTCTAATGACTCCAGCTCTGTTAGGTTCCCCATTAGTGATGGGATTTTGCCATTGAAGCTATTGTGAGACAAGTTTAGAACTTTGAGTGATTTGAGGTACCTTATCTCTTCAGGAATTTCTCCATGAAATCTGTTTTGAGACAGATCAAGACAAGTGAAGATGGTCAGTATTCTCTCCATTGACATTTCCAATCCCTTGTTCATAATAGTCAACGACTCCTTATAGTAGTAGCTACCGTCGTAGTTATCTCCGACATATGTTGGCTTTGATTCATTGTTGCTAGTCGCTTGCATTGCTGCTAGGCTTTGAACAAATTCTTTTGAAAGATGACCAGTAAATTCATTGGAAGATAGGTCCAGAACATGCAGCATTGGCATAATGTTCACAAGACCAAGATTCCAAATTTGACCATGAAATTTATTTGCTCGCAGTACAAGAATCTTCAATGCTGGCAGCTTTTCCAACCACAGTGGGAATGCATCACGTATCGTGTTGTCTCCCAGGTCCAAAACCTCTAGCTGTGAGCAATTGGCCAAGGATCTTGGCAACTTTCCTTCGATTTTATTGTCATTCATTTTCAACGACTGCAAATTGCATGCTTGTGAAAAACCGGGCATGGTAGTGAAGTTATTTCTCTGAAGGTTCAGCACGTTGAGGTTTTGCATATCTCCCAAACAATCTGGGATTTGACTACTAAGGTGGTTATAGGACATGTCGAGAAAAAGGAGTTCACTGAAATTGCATATTGCTTTAGGGAATGAACCATGCAATAGATTGTCACGAAGATCAAGAATCATTAAGGATACGGCCGGGATGGCCGCTGGTGAAATTTGGTCAAAAGAATGAAGGGAGTTCTCAGAAAGGTTTAGACGCCATAGACTTGTAAAATTCCATATCCAGTTGGGTATTTGACCACTGAGTTTGTTGTCGGAAAGATTCAGTTCTTCTAAGTTGCGCTGGTTCTTAAGAAACTCTGGAAAGCTACTTAAGTTACATGAACCCATGCTCAAACTACTTAACTGTGGAAAGGAAGAAGTTGCTTCACAATTGAAGATTGACCTGCTATTGTTTAGCATGCAAAAAGGAGGATATTTGGGAAAATCAATAGGATTGTGGGAAAGGTCTAATGTTTGGAGATTTCTTTTCCATATCCAACTGGGCACATAACCTTTAATTTGGTTGTTAGAAAGATCTAGAAATCTCAAACTGTTTTGTGCTTTGAGAAAATTTGGAAATGCAGTGAAGTTGCAGGATCTCAAAGACAAAAATACAAGTTGGACAGAAGCAAGACTTGTGTTATCACTTTCGATTGATACTCCAGAAAGACAGAGATCTGTTAAATTCCTTTGATTCTGGAAATTGCCTAGCTTCAAGGAGCCGTAGAAGTTGTTACTACTGAGATCAACCTTTATAAGCCTTGGGAGTTCACAGATTGACCTTGGTATTGGTCCTTCAAAACCATTTTGACTCAAGTCTAAGAATTCCAACAAGAAAGAAGATGCATTTGGGAACTCATTTAGCTCTCCGCTGAATTTGTTGGATGCGAGATTTAATACCTCTAAGGAAGGAAGAATGAATAGTGAAGAACAAATAGGACCAGAAAGGGCACAATTATACAGAGTCAGGACCCTAAGGTTGGGAAGTAAAGGAGAGATGGCTTCACACCAGCTGCTACTTTGTGCTGAGAGGTCTACATCAGCTAGAATGATCTCGACTAAAAAACTCAAATTCTGGAAAACCAATTCAAGTATTGGGTTTTCAAGTTTAAGCATTGGAAAACCACTCAAGTCAAGTTGAGTCACAAGACCATCACCATTACATGCAAGCCCCTGCCAAGAGCAACAATCTGTTGTCAGGTCCCACAAGTCAGCTTTTGAATAGGAATGTGTAGTAAAGGAGTATTCAAGAAGGTTTTCTTGCAGTTGTACCAAGGAAGATTTCTGGTGATAAAGGCATTGGTGGTGGGTAGCTTTGGGATTTGTAGACAAAGATGAAGCAAGACTACTTGGGTGGAGTAACAAGAAAAGGAGCAAGAGTAAATGATTAACATCCCTCATCTTCGTTTTCCTCCGCAGAAAAACTGCTATTAGCAGAAGTTGATACTTAATGGTTTAGATGATTGAAAATATATAGCAGAGGAGATAGAAATCAATGTTTGGGAAAACCACGCTCCTTGAAGTTTCCCTATTCACATCACGATCCTCATTTTTGTAGGAAAGTTCAGGTGGGGTCCCCATATTTGCCGCCTTAACTATAAAATAAGTAAAGAAGTTATCAATTGTTTATAAGCTAATTTTATAAGTTATGGGTTATTAACGCAAATCGAAGAAGAAATAATTGTTCTTTGGAGTCGTTTCATGATACAATTTTTTTTAATATTAATTTACACTCAAATCTCAATTATCTATTTTAAACACATTTATTTCATGATAAAATTATTATAAAAGAGATCACATCATTTCGTAGGGAAATTAATTTTTTTTTTTAAATGATTGTAACAGAAGTATTTAATTAAAAAGTAAAAATATTTTAATGATAAAATTGAAACAAAAACTCTTCCGTCATGTTACCAAGCATATACCGAGCAGCAAACCATAACAATTCGCTGACTCAGTCAACGAATTGGCCGTCCTAAGGAAATTGTTAAGATAAAACTACAAAAGAATTAAGTAATATTATTTTTCTCTTTTTTATATTTGGAACTTTTGATGATGTTCTTTCTATTACTATAATTCACTGTGAAATGTTTCTTATATAATAACTAATAATACTTACTCCATAAGGAATGATAGAAAAATAAAAAAAATAAAAAATAAAAATGTATAAGTGAAAATATTCTTATATATCACTCCATTTTTTTTCTTTATTGCTTGTTTCTTTCTTCAAAGTGGATTCATAAAAATAAAATAAAATGAGTATTTTAAAATTTCTCTTTACTCCAAAATATGCACCTCAAATTATATTCAAGATTGAGGGAGACATTGAAATAATTATTTTTTTTTGATTTGGAATGTGTAAGAAAAATGCATATATATATAGGAAATAAAAAATAAGAAAGACTGGAGATTTTTTTCTTTTTTTTTAATACAGCTAATTCACCTAAACTTGGATTCACTAAACACAATCTAGATTAACTTATATGCAGACCTAGCAATTCATCAAAATAATGGATACTTGACCCTAACATGACTCGGATTATTATGTAATCAATGCATGTGTTTGAGCTAATTTTATTTTAAAATTATGAATATCTAAACATATTAACATGTGTAAATATACGATATAAAATAAAATAATGGCTTCGTTCATACAATATATATTAACATAATTAAGAAAACATTCATTACTTAGTAGTGAAAATAATGGAAAGTCCTTTAGAATGTAAATACTGAGGAAATTTCCGACGACTATGGATGCCGTAATGGAGAGAGCAGAGTCAAACGATCAAGACAAATTTGTTTATCAAATCCAAGGCATCGCCATCTCTGACGGAGAAATCATTAGGTATAATTAATTAGTTTATCACATCATTCGTAGACTTGATTCGAAGAAACAAGATACATAGACAAAATCATATGGAATAAATACATCATTAAGTGTTTCTATTGTTTATATGTTTGTTTTTATTGGTCTAATATATGAACAATAAAAACATCATTAGGTGTTTTTATTGTTTATATGTCTTGTTTTTATGAAAGATACATATAGTGAGTAAATTATAAATTAGTCTCTCTCATTTTCAAAAACGAATTAATTAATCCCTTTGATTTTAAATACTAATGATTTATTTTTTTCTATTTTTAATTATTTTGATTTTTTGTTTAAAAAAATAGAAAAGAAATATTAAATAAATAAATATACGAAAATATTAATGAGAAAAGAAGACATTTTATAAAATAGAAAAAATGTTAAATTAGCCGTGATCAATATTGGTTAAAAAGACTAAATAATTAGTTTTAGAAATCGGAGTAATTAATTAATTCGTTTCTCAAAAGAAAAGGGACAAATTTATAATTTACTCAAGATATATATAG